TGATGACTTTCACAGTTTTGAGAAGTACTGGTTAGGCATTTGTAGAATTTCCTTCAGTTGAGATTTGTCTGCTCATGATTACCCTGGGCTAATAGATCCATGGGAGGAAGATCACAGAGACAAAGTAAAGTGCTGTTCTCATCATATCAGGGTACATATTATCAACATGACATATTACCATTAATTTTAACCTCAATCACCTGCTTGATGTAATGTTTGTCAGATATTCCCCTGGAAAGTTACTCTTTCTTCCCCTTTCATACTGGATGAAATTACTCTGTGATGCCCGCACTTACAGAGCAGGGAGCTATGCTCTACCTCCTTGAAGGCAAAGTATTTACATATATTATTTGGAATTGTTCGACACAGATTTCTCTCTTTTTAATTTATTTATTCAGTAATGTGTTATAATCTACTACTTTATTTTATTGTTCAAATTGTTCCAGCTTTGACCATTTGATCTCTTTCAGTTGACTCCTGTGTCCCTTTGTGACATACCCTACTATTGTGAGTTTTTTTGAGCACTTCATTACTTGTTTGCAGTATAAGATGCTACATATTACTCATTCTCTGCTCCAGCCTAGAATCAGCCATTTCTTCAAGAAGCCCTAGTTCATTTTATTGGAGAATGGCATTAGAAACTAAGATCTGGGTGCTAGGTGTGGCCATTATTGTTTAAAATATCGTTTCTGCTCTATTTGCTCTCTGCTCTCGTTTTTAGACTCCAGTTACATGTATCTATATCTCTTTTACTGCATTCCACATGTCTGTTATGCTCGTGACTAAATTTTTGTTTTTTCTCTTTGCGTTTCAGTTTGGACATTTTTCTATTGACTTGTTTTTCAGTTGACTAACCCTCTTTTTTTGTTGTGTCTAATCTGCTGTTAAACCCATTTACTGAATTCTTAATTTCAGTTACTATATTGGGTTGGCCAAAAATCTCATATTTTTTTCTGAAAAATAAAAGACACATTTTTCATTTTCACCAATAACTTTATTGATTTGGATATTCTGAGTATGTTGGCCATCTCCTGCTATTGGCTTCTCGTGGATAGAGGCCAGGGGTGCTGCTAAACATCTTCCAGTGAATAAGACAGTCCCGCAGCAAAGATTTGGTCAACATGTCAAAAGTTCCAAGAAACTTGGCAAACCACTTTTGACACATCTGATTAGTCACAGCACCTTCTCCGTATAGGGCACAAATCATTTTTTGTGTTTAGTTGTGTTTTTACCTTTCTTGAAATAATAGAGCATAATATGCCAACAATGTTACATGTTTTCCTCCATCTTCAATATTAAAATGGCTGCACAAAAATTCACCAATTTTGATGTTTTTTAAAAAATGCACACAGTTATGACAGCTGTCACAGTACAATCTAACAATATTGTTTCGAATGAAGTTAGAGTTGACTAAGCACTAGTAAAGCCATCATATGGAAAAATGTAATTAACTTTTTGGCCAACACAATATTTTTCAGGTCCAGAATTTCCATCTAAATCTTTTTTATAGATTCTAATTTTCTGGTGAAATTCTTTATTTTTTAATCTTTGTTCTCCATCCTTCTGCTTTTTTACATTTTGATCATAGCAGTTATGTTAGTCATTTTCTGCTTATTCTAGTTTCTGGATTATGTGTGAGTCTGTTTCCACTAATTTTTTGGGCTTTTTCCATGATAATCCTTCATAGGGCTCTGTCTCTTGGTATGCCTCATTTGAATCCTGGACATTGTGTTACAAAAACTGTAGAACCTCCAGATAACATTATTTTCTTTCAGAGAGTTGACTATTTCCTTTGCTATTCAGATAGAGTATGGGCTGCTTACCTTATTCCAGTCAGGTACTGAGCTGAGTTTAGATTTGGTTCTAGTTTTGATAAAGCTCTCTCTATCTTCAGTTCACTCTTCCTTCTTGAGAATGGCTCTCCAGGCCTCTCAACCAAGAATCTAAAGTGTCCATTTGAACTCCACTCCAGCAAGTACTGACTTTTCAGTCCTTGTTTCCTTAGCATAAAACTACTCTTCATTTCAGAGTCTTTTTCCTTATGTATTAGTTTCCTATTGCTGCTGTAACAAATTACAAACCAGGTGGCTTAAAACAGCACAATATATTATTTTACAGTTCTGGAGATCATAAATCCAAAATGGGTTTAATTGCGCTAAAGTCAAGGTGTCGGCAGGGCTGTATTCCTTCTGGAGGCTCTAGTGGAGAATCCATTCCGTTGCCTATTCCAGCTTTTAGAGGTTTCCTGCATTCCTTAGCTCATAAACCTTTCCTCCGTCTTCAAAACCTGCAGCATACCATCTTCAAATATTTCTCTGACTCTGACCCACCCAATTCCCCCTTTCTTTTATAAGGACCTTGTGATTACATTGAGCTCACCTGGGTAATCTAGGATACCCTCTCTATCCCAGGATCCTTAACTCAATCATATATGTAAAACCATTTTTGCCATGTATTATAAGATATTTCTAGGTTCTGGGGTTTTGGTGGGAGGCTATTATTTTGCCCACTACACTTAGTTTTTTAGGTTCCTGCACACACAGTTTCAGAGTTCAGCACATTTAGTGAGGAAACCTACCACGTAATGTTAAGGCTCAGTTCTGCTCTCCTTTTTCACAAGGATCTTTAAGTCTCCAATTTTATCTCCCTAGCGCTGCAAGACTACCAGCAGTCCTGACGGTTTCTTTTTTCCTTCAGTAATTGGTCCTCTATCTGGATAAAACCCATATTCCCAGCCTCTAGCCATGTGCCCAGAGTTGGCAAATGCCTCAGGGAGAACTTGGGTGCAGAATATCAGTTTACTACCTAGCTGTTCACCTCTTTGGAATTTTGGCTCCCCTTGTCCTGTTTGCTTCAGTGTCTCTGATTCATTTTATCCAGTTTTTAAAATTGATCTGGGAGGAGCCATTAACCTGCTACAAACTGTTCCATCGTATTCTTCTAAGTCATTTTGACAAAACCTGATAAGTATATATACTTAATAGTTTAGGGTTTTGATATGACCCAGATATTTCAGATTTATCTTCTGCATTTCCAGACCTGGAACTGGCCATTTTCCCAAGTAGCTCTGGTTCCTTTTATTGGAAAATGGTGTAAAGAGTTCACAGTTTGAAGGCAACATTTGTGCTTTATGCATCTCTATCTTTTGCACCTAGTGCATTGCTCATGTATGATACTCAACAAATGTTTGTTAAATAAAAATTTTTTAATCTTCACCCAAAGACATATGTATTTATTGGTTTAGAGAGAGAGGAAAAGAGAGAGAGAAATTGATGTGAAACAGAAACATTGATTGGTTGCCTCCCATACACACCCCGACTGGAGATTGAACCTGCAGCCTAAGAATGTGCCCTGACTTGGGATCAAACCCACAACCTTTAGGTACACAGGATGAAACTCTGATCAACTAAGCCACCTGGCCAAGGCTGTTAAATACATGTTTATATTTATGTCTTCACTTGGTTCTGCTCACCTTAAGTACCACTTCCTTCATGAAGTAAGTCTTCTTTGCCTTTCTCCTCTCTAAATTCTCTAAATTTCTGTAGCACTACTACAGATTTAATTCAAATACTGTGCAATTTGGACTTGGAAGCTTGGACTAGATAGATGTTATAGTCCCTTTTAAACCTAATAACCTGTATATTAGCACAACTCTACATTATTTCATTCTTTTGATGTATGTTAATTTTTTTCACCTAATTCAATGGAGAGTCAAGATTTTGCTCTTTCTGGATATGGGGTAGTTGCTATATTCACGTTGATTTATCAATTAAGCAGATTGACTTTATTTCATATTGTTACTTCTGCAGCTTGGAAATAGGTAGAACTTTTTTGATTTAAGAATGTGTCAACTACTAGATTAAGGGGAGCTTGTCTATGCAAAACTTTTTGAAAATTTTTCAAAAATGAACCAATGTAATACGATATATGTGTATCTTTTGCTGCAGATTTGAAGCTAAATTGCCTAGGTTCAAAGTGAAGTTTTGTCAGTTACTATTTGAATGACCTTAGACAAGTTTATTTAATTTCTTTGACCCTCAGTTTTCATGTTTATTAAGTGGATATAATAATAGTGTCTAACTCATAGGATTAAGTGAGTTAATTCATGTTAAACACTTATGCCAGAGGCTGGCACAAAGTAAGCAGTCAATAAATGTTATTGATGAATCATACATATACATTTAGTAAAAAATGTAAAACATTTGTAATTGCTTTTTAAACTTAATATTGTGAACATCTTTTTATGTTCTTGACATTATTTGTAAAAAAAAAAAAAATCTTTAATAGCTGCATAGAATTTCATTGTCAAGAAATACCCTAATTTCATTTACCAATCTAATACTGCTGGGAATTTAAATTATTTGCATTTTTAAATTGGTTTTTATTTTGGCTGACATTCTTTCTTACCCAAAAACTGGAGAGGAGTGTGGCCAAATCGAGAATTTTAAGGTAGCATAACATCCTGTAGAGCTAACAGTGGACTGAGAATTAAAAGATTGAATTCTAGTTCATAGTTTGCCCCCTTTCTTTTCCAGGTTGGAGTAAATAATCTGTTGGATCCCTTCCAGACTTATCTCTTCATATTATTGTGCAGGAATTAAGTCCATCTTAGTCATAAATATTAGGTGTTATTTCCTTTAAAAGTCACACACAAATATCTAAGCTGAAGTAATCTGTGTAACAGAGCTTCCCACACAGAATTCCAATGACTTCAAGGTAGTGACCCCTTTAGTCATAAAGCAGCTATTCAGAGTCTGAGGCTGCTAGACCCCTGGGCTGGTCATCTCCAACTGCAAGCAGCGTTATCTGTGTCTCCAGTCCCTTCTAGTTTATCCAGTATTCTCTGCTGTAAGATAAGCTTTTCTGTTTGCCAAACTGTGAAAAGGTTTCTGAGTACTGATCTAAAAGAACGTATCAAGGAAAACTGCTGCTGCTACCAGATATATGTGGTTCAGATCCCTGTTATATTGCTGATAGTTCTCCATTCTTTGACTTTTTAGTATGGCTGCTCGCTGTTTCTGGGATGCCGACACTGACAACTACACTCATGATGTTTTCATGAATGTAAGTCTATTTGGGAACCTTTTCTTCCTTTCAAAGGACACAAGGGCATTTCAAATGAAATTAGTTAATATTTATTGAGATGTGAGGACTCTTTAGTCTTAGAGATTTGTCTTAGACTCCTAGATGAGACGACTTTACTGTTCTTGTGTTACTAAAGCAGAAACCTGATGTGCTGTTTAGAGGCAAGTGCACATTTGTGTACAGATGATATAACTCTTCACAAGTTTGAATTTGGGAATAGGATATTGTTTAGTGCTAATAGGCAACATAGCACTTTGCTAAGCTGCAAAGAAATTTGTGTGGCAGGGATTCGATGAACAAAGGTGATTTTTTTTTTTCCAGGAACCAAATTAATTATCTTATCTTTTTGTTAAATCCTCACCCTAGGATATGTTTTTTTAAAAATTGATTTTAGAGAAAGAAGAAGGAAAGAGCGAGAGCAAGAGAGAGAGAGAGAAGTGTGGGAGAGTGAGAGCGAGAGAGAGAGAGAGAGAGAGAGAGAGGTCAGAAATATCAATGTGAAGGGAAGCACTGATGGTTGCCTCCCCCAGGGGATTGAATCTGAAACCTAGGTATGTGCCCTGACCAGGGATCAAACCCACAACCTTTTGGTGTATGGGATGATGCTACAACCAACTGAGCCATCTGGCCAGGGCTAATTACTTTATCTTGAAACTATTTTTTCAAAACTAAGTGAAAAAAAGAGGAATTTTTAAAAAAGGGGTTTCATATAAACATTGGGAAGAGTTTGACATGAATGTTTTAGGAATTTTAATATTGTTTTATACTTGATTCCTCTATCCAAATCTCCCAGGTTATGAATTAGCAGAGTCAGAATAAAGTATAGTAGCGTAGGACAGAAACTGCTTTGAATGAATTAGAAGAGAGGTTCCATTCCAACTCTGTAACTTTGTAATTAAGGACTTTAGGTAAGTCATTGGACTTTTGTGTGACTGTATCAGTAACTTTAGGAAACTGTACTTGATTTTTCCAAAGACTGGCTGTGGCTGCCTAAGAATTATTTGAGGAACTTGTTTAAAATGCAAATGCTATGACCCTACTAAAGTAGATTCTAATCAAATAAGCTAGGGGTTGGATCAGCGAATCTGAATTTTTTTGAAAAGTTCCCCACATGGTTATGCTTACTGCCAGATTTGGAAGTTGCCTGTGTAGTAGACTTTAAGGTACCTTTTAGCTCTAAAATTCTATGGTCCTACCAATTTTACATTATGCTCAACTACCTGAGGGATCAAGGTCTGCATGGTGGGAAGTGTTATGTAAATCATCATTTATCAGCTCTCTGGGGAAAGGGTCGAGTAAAGGTGATAGCTTTTCCTGCTTTTTGGAGTCAAAAATTTATATTTCCCTGTGTCCTTATACAATACAAATTCAACAGATAATCCAGAATTCCTGTTATATGCCAATCTCTGTACTAGAGGTGCTAGGAATAAAATGATGAATAAGAAATAGACATGACTATTGCCTGCAGAGAGCTTATAAACAGTGGGGGCCAGACAATACTCAAATTAACAAATATGTAGTATAAAACTTTAGTTATCATTAGTTAAAGTTTCCAGGATTGGGTTTTAGAACACAGGGTTGGTGGGTGAGGTGTCTAACAATCATTTTTGAGAGCCTAGTTTAGCTTGCTGAGTTAGTGTACTGTGTCCTTAGTCCAGTTGGTTGAATTGAGTGTTTAGGTGTCATTTTCACAATTTAAATACTTCATTATTTGGGAGAAGATCCCAGGAAGCACCAGTAGAGGATGAGGATGTGAAAGAGGGATGAGAAAGGCCTGTGCTCTTGAGCTGATAATTACTGTGGATAACCTGGCTCAATCCTTCTGGAGAACTCTGGGTGACACCGTACAACAGTCAAAGCAGGGTCCACAGACTAGTGCCATGAGCCATTTGTTACAGGTCCTTGATGAGGTAAGTACATAAATTGGGTGTAAGGGTTTAGAAACTCTTAACAGGAATTTGACAAAGTATCTTTATGTCCATTAAATCTATTAATAAAACCTTTAGCCTGTATTTGTATGTTTTTTCATTTTTTCCTATTTATTAATTTTATTGTATTTTACAAAAGTATCAGTGCATGAGGGTTTGGAAATTAGAACAAAAACAAAAACAGGTCCCTCACCTCAGATAGCACTGTTATAGAACACAGCTCACAGTTATCCTACCCAAGGAGCCAGGGAACTGGGCTAACCAAAGAATTTTGCTTTTGGTTAATAATGAGGTACTTTAGTTCAGATTTTCTCTCATCACCATTGGGCTGGAGGTGAGGTTGATAGGTCAGCAGTTGCTGAGGCAAGTGGAGTTCCAATGAGAAGTACCAAAAAAGTGTTTTAAGCCCTGGCCGGGCAGTTCAGTTGGTTAAAGGGTTGCCCTGATACACCAAGGTCGTGGTTCCATCTCTGGTCAGTGCTCATGTAAGAAGCAACCAAAGAATGCATAAATATGTGGAACAAGAAATTGATGCTTCTCTCTGTCCCGCTCTCTCTTTCTCCCTCTCTCCCACTCTCCTTCTTTCTTTCCCTTCCCCTCTCTCTCTAAAGTCAATGAAAAAAATTTTTTTAAGTGTTTTAAAAAGTTTAACTGGGATCTGGAAAGCATTTTGAGATTCTGAACGAAAAGATAGACAAATTAATTTTATGAATTAAGAACAAACAGCCAGAGACTTTTTACCCTTATTCAGAATTTATGAGAAGGTGCTGTTATTTTTATTATATAAAATAGTTCTTTGGTTTGGGTAATACATTTACTCCAAGAAACTCAAAGCATTTCATATGTTTCTTTGATAAATCAGGAAAAATAAGAATGCTTATTTTATAAAGTTCATTAGTTTGTTGTTTATTTCTACATTCAGAAAATCTCTTTACTTATCCTAACATTCTGGGTTTGTTTGTGTGTGTCTGTTTTTTCTGTTTTGTTTGTTTTGTAGGACAGTTTATTCTGTGTTGTAGTAGCATTCGGCTGTTTCTACTATTGAATCTTTGAACGCTGGGAAAAGATATGACCATGAAGAAATACGGACTTTTTTATATTGTTAAGTATCTTGTCAAAATAAAGATAAGTTGGCAATTTGGGCTTATAATTGAGTCTATTGAATTTCAGGGCTTATAATTAATGTTTTGATTTTGATGTATGTCCTAACTACATGTGGAAAGTAGAGAAAAAAGTTAGGGAAAATCCATAATTCATTTGTTCTACATAACCAACTAAATATTTTGGTATATTTTCTACCAGTGTTATTTTATTTGCAAGGTTATAAAGAAATCATATATACAATTTTGTACCCTGATATTTCACTTCTCATAATGCCATGTGCAGTTTTATGTCATATTATTTGCATTATGATTTTCATAAGCATAATTTAATAGTTGCATTTGTTCCATTAGATTATACTATTGGTTATTTTTGCCATGTCCTTATTGAGGGACTGATATTTCTAAAATTTTTCACTATTACAAATCATACTGAAATGAATTTATTTGTGCATAAAGTTTTTTTCTTCATTTTGAATTGATTCCTTTACTGGTCACTCATTGTTTTTACTCACTTTTTTCACCCTACACCTTACACAGCTTATTAGCTTAAATATGCATCTGCTTTTTCCAGTGCGAGAATTTCTGATAAGTGTGAGAATTTCTGAGCTGTATGTGAAATTAGCCCTCCATTAAGACTCTCTGAAATTATGTTGGTTACTATGCCGATTCCCACTATCTTGTAGTGATCTTCTCCTTGGAGTCCCTAGTGTTTTCTCCAGCTAGCTTGTTCTTATTTGGCACATCTTAGTCTATGAGCTGACAAGGAGAAAACTCTGAGATGTTCTAAATTAAATTAGAGCATCCAGAGAGTGAGAGAGACAGAACAGGTAATCTGCTAATATCCGTGGACCAACTAACAAAAGACTGCCCATATTCATATGTCTGTTGGAACTTCAGATTAATTTCCAGGTGGCTATTCCTGCGACTATTCAAAAGGGGCAATAGCTAGGTGCCTTCCAACCCCAGGAGCTTTCACTTCTTGTTCGTGCATGAACTTTCTGGACTGTTGCCCATCAATCCAAAGGAATGGACACTTCTTCCTAGTGGGCTCTGTGCCTATCCCAGAGCTGGCCCCACTTCACCTTTTCTCACCCTTTTTCCTAGAGCGAATATAAAGTTTTTCAGACAGTTTACATCATTCTCCCCAGCCCCACTCCTCAACTGATGAATAAGAAATTATTGTAGTCAAAGATGATAGAAATGTCATATGCTGCTGGGTTGGACTTCATCCCCCAAGACTGGTCTTTTTGGCCAAAGAAATCTTTCTGAGAGAGAGAGAGACAGACAGACAGACAGACAGACACTGAGAGACTTTTTCAGGTGTAGGAGTTAAAGTTTTGTTTAAAAGAGTCTTGTTCAAATAACTGTTTGAAACTCAAAAGGGAAAGGGTCACAATTTAAATTTTCTTTTTCTCCGTGGAGGCTCCTCAGCAGATACATAAGTTTACCCACCCTTTTTCTTCTTAACAACTTTCAAGCATGTAGATAAAAATAAAAACGAATAAATAAGAAAATATAAAGTTTCACATACTTCTGCTGTAACATTGGATATCTAGTTGTCTTACATCTATAGAATCTAAAGGAACCCCTCCAAACATTCATTCTAGCAAAAGAAAAAGTTTCTCTTAACCAGAAACCCTGCAGTGTGGTTTGCTATCAGTGGTCTCAGTCAGATCTGATTGCTGACTCAAGAGAAGGCCAACTTGCAGAGAAATTTTATGAATTTATTTGAGCTGAACTGACAGCATAAGTCAGGGAGCAAGATCTCAGATGCACCTCAGAATAAGAGTGTGCAGCTTCTTCTATGCATTTGTAATTATGGAGGGAACATAAGGAACATCACATGAAAGGTGGGGGAGAAAGCAAGCTGGGGGTCAGCTTATAGAATAAACTCTTGGGAGTGGCCATCATTTAGAAGGAGGAGTCTGGAAGGACGCTCTTCAGATGT